AGGGATAGTAGCTGCATTAAATTTAATAGATATGTTGTTTTCACAAACTAAGGTTTGGAACCGTGAAAAATTATGCTGGCGATTAATCGCATTGGCTAATTAAAAGTTACATGATTAATAATCGTATAATCATGTAATCACTTAACTATTTAATCGCAATCGTATAATCATTTATTAATCGTTTAACCGTTTAATTGTTTAATCGTTTATTAATTACTTAATCGTTTAACTGTTTATTTAATCATATAACTGTTTATTAATTACTTAATCATTTAACCGTTTATTTAATCATATAACCATTTATTAATTACTTAATCGTTTAACCGTTTATTTAATCATATAACTGTTTATTAATCTCTTAATTGTTTAACCAATTATTTAATTGTATAACCATTTAATAATCGTTTCATAGTTTAGTTATCTAACTGTCTTAATAATTATTGAGAGGCATTTCTAAGTTGTTTTGATACATAGATTTGCTGCGGCTGCTTTTATTTTTATTTATTGAGTAACACTGCATCTGAAATAGTAAAAGATTTGATTAGATCCATATTAACAAATGTCTAAAACTTGTATATTATTTATATAAGAGAGATCATCAAAGATAAACTAAAAATGAAAATATTATTGTTAAACTGCTAACGCTAATTAGCCAAATTCACAATTCAATTTATTCCAGTTTAATCTCTACTTAAAATGCACAAAAAAAAAAGATAAAATGAAAATTCATTTTTAGTGCTACCTATATATTCCATCTTTCAATCCTTTTTGATAATATCATGCCCAATAACTAAAATATGGGCCATAATGAATATAACAGCTAATTGCATATTCTGGTTATCTTACGCAATTTAAAATAGAATTTTGAATGGTACTATTTTTCATTAAAAAGTTAAGCTATTATTGCAAAACTCTACCTATCTATTAGGATTATATTCACCATCAGTACCTTTAACCTTAATTATAGCAAAATATATTTTTGTTTATAGCAATTTCATAGCATATTCCTCCAATAATATAAGCGTTAGCACATTTTTGATAATAATGATTGTCTTGGTGTCTTTATATTTGTCTTTTTTAGCCTAAATTTTGTATAATTTTTTTTTTTTAATCGTTATTTGATTAAGTCTATTGTAAATAACATGAAAGAATTTGAGAATTGTATATGAAAAAAATCATATTTGAATTAAAAATGATACATAAAATTTTAAACCTACTTAAAAGTTCAGCATTACACTTAAAAAAGAGAATTTTTCCAATAATCTTTGAGCTTAATCATGTACGTTGGGGAGTAATTAGGTTTCCTGCATCTGAGAAAAGTCTATAAATATTTACGTGCTAACAATGACAAAATTGGAAACTCAGTTTTATAATTATTCTACCAGTTTCAAGGATTGACATTATAATTATTAATAGGGGTAATCTTCAGATATCGTGCCACCTTATTCAAAGGTATATCTTCTTGATCCTGTACTCCAAAAATACCTTCAAAAAATAGATTTTGCATTATTTCAGTAACTGTTGATGATGTTTGTTGCACTAGTTGATCATTGCTAGTATTATTAATACATTGTAAATTTTCAAATTCATTTCTTAATTTTGTTTCAGCCTTTTTTTGTTCTCTGTTTGTAAATGCAGACATTCTTTTGGTCCAGGGGTCTAAAAGGGTAGCTACCAATCCAACTACACGAAAATTATACCAATATTTATTCAAAGAGTCATAAATAGCAATTTTAAATTGCTTTTCTATTTGATCAAGATCAGGTGGTGGTGAAGAGGCTTGTGAATGAGTGTCGTCATCATTTTCTAAATCTAATAACATGTCTAGTTTAATTAGCAGATTTTTAAAAATAAGTTGTTAATATCACATAACGTGATAATTAATATTTAAAAACCTACTACTGCAGTGGTTAATAATTATAATGATTACTAATCATCAGCAAACTTTAAATATAATTGTCACATTAGTAAAGTAGAATCGATAAAACCAACAAAACTTACCATCCTCATTGTCGCTATCTTCATCATTATTACTTAATTCTAAACTCATATCTATAAATTTATTTTGTAATTCACGAATGATAGAATACATTAGTGAAAAAGTGGGATACTTGCTTCCTGAAAAGAATTTAGTTGCATGCTCAAATAGTTTTAATGCATTTATAATTCTTTTAACAAATCCCACTTATAATCTTTTAATAGTAACTGAGACAATTTTTGACCGTCTCTTTTATTTTTTTTTCCTTTCTTTAAGGGCAACACGGATGCTAACCATGTTATTGCATCTTTTAATTCTAAGAGTCTTGTCTATGAATAGTAACTAGAGTTCTATCTAGTACAAATATCAGTGATATTACACAACACTTTTATTGTAGATTCATCAATTTCTCTATCTTCATTCTCTTCTTCTGAACTAATTTCTTCATCTATATCAAGAGCTGATAACAGATTAAATCGAACAATTTCAACATCCTCTTCTCAAATATAATTTTGTCATGCAAGATCTATTTGTGCCTCATCAAGCTGCTCGGATTGTTTAACTGATTCTGTAAAAAATTTTACCAATTCTTTGAACCTTTTACATAAGTACCAATTTTTTTTAGACCCTTCGTCACTGATAATTGAAGAGTATGAGCAGAACAGGGTAACCATTCAATATCTTTCCACATGGTAAAAGCTTTTTTCATATTGGAACCATTATCGGTGACTCCTAAAAATAATTTTTTATTTAAACCAAATTCACCTATTTTATTATCAATATAATCATATATTTTCTCAGCTGTATGAGGATACCGTATACATTCAATAGTAAGAAGCATATCAATAATTTCAAAATCAGGTGTGAGCCAATGAACCGTAATGCCGATATATCCAAATTTGGATCTGGCAGTCCAGAGATCCGTGGTAATGGTAGCATATTTACATGTTTTATTAATTTTTGTTTTAAGTTGGATTATTCCATCTTGATAAGCCGCTGCTATAAAATTTTTACACCCTTTATTAGATGGTGGTTTAAACCGTGGATTAATTTTTTTCATAAATCGCTGAAATTCTTCTCCACGAAGTGTATTAAAGGATAAAGAATCCATAATGATCCACTCTGTACATGCTGTTTGTAGTTTATTTTGTTTATTCGGGCCATGCAATTTTACATTATCTAGAACTTGTTCAAGTGTAACTTGTTCTTTTTTTTCTGCCTATTAAAATTTTGCAAAAAACGTAAAATTTTTTAATAAATGTTTGAAAAAATCTACCTGGATAATCAATATAGTTAAAAAAATTTTTTCAAAATTTGATCCGACCAGATTATGAGAATCAATTTATTAAATTTGTATGGCCTAATGATAAATTCAATAATACCTTTTTAGCCAGACTTTTGAAAACTATATCATGTTCTTGTATTATGTGATAATTCATTGATGTTGTTGAATTTGAATTAGTACAGTCATATTTTTGCTCACACTTTTTTGTTTTTCTATCTTGAATTATTTCGACTTGGCATACTGTGAAATTTCCTTCTATTTTAAAATAATGCCATGCTTTAGCTATGAGTCTGCGTTTTTTTCTTTTTTTTGGTAGACTAGTAGTTTTTTTGCCTTTTAACACAGATGATAATGATTTAGGAAAAGACCCTATTTCTCTACTGTTATTATTATTGTTATTATCATTGATTTCAGGTTCACTGTTGGTTTCTAAATCATAAATTTTACTATCCTGGATATTATTCATCTTAAACAAAAGGAAGTTGATTCAAATTTTTTTTAAGGTTTGATTTATTTGTTGTATTCAATTCCAATTTTAGTTTATACTCTTAAAACAAATTTCAATTTTAGTATCATTACCAATGATCAAACCAGTATACTACAAGAAATTGATTTTAAGGTTTGATTATCACTATATTATTTTACTAGAACTTGCAATATGAAGTTTAATACGTTGTCAAACAAATTTTAAACATTTTGAACATCATGGATTCGATCGTTGTTATTAAAGGTAATATAGGATAAAAGAAGATATTATGGTGAGAGTGAGTAATGTGATAGGTCGAAAAACTTATTGTTCCACTAATCAGTATTGAATAGTATCTATGCTTTAATTTTTCTCTTTTAAGAATCAAAATATATAAAATCACTTAATTTTGTTCACTGCAACATGAAATATGTATCAAATTATCTCATAACTAAATTTTATTAATTACTAAACTTTTATTAATGTGTTCAATCCTAACTAAAATCTAATGCACTAATCATTAAATTCGGAATCTGATTTTATTCAAAAAATATGAAAAAAAGGCCGAATATGAAAGATCACGAACGATCGATAATATAAAATCAAAATTCACCATCTCTATACTATGAATTGGATAATCGTAAATTTTAGGAAAGAATTTTTATATTATATGTTATCATCATTTCTCTGTTTTTCGTACTGCTTATACTTCACTCTTCTTATCATTATATGTTTACGACATCTCCACTTTTATTTGGGTAAGTAACAATTTTACGTTCATTACTTGATATGAGCAGAGCAGCAGCACTACTAATTGCAAGTTCGCTGAAGTGGTCATTTCTTGGCACGCAAATGTCAGGTGAATGACAAATTAATATTTCTGGCTTTGAAGATGAAGCTGCTTTGACGTAGTCATTTGTGAGAATATTTATGCTGAAACTAATTATGCGCTTTCCACTTGGATCTCTTAGATAATGAAGATAACCTACTCATAGTTGGTGAATAATATAACTTTTTGAAAATAAGTTAATCACATTTATGTCATGATAATATTATCATAAAAGAAGCTACTATACTTGAAATCATAAAGCCTTGACTACACACTCTGGATCATTCAGCATTGACATCTGAAACTGGTATGTTAAGTCTTCGCTCTTGATAATGTTTATGAAGTTTGTAAGTTGGGTGAAATGCCATAAGCATGAATAGTATTGTACTATACCTTCTACTTAAATATATAATTATTATAGATGTTTAAATCAAAGATCAGGCCCAGTTTATGAAAATGGCACCAATTAAAAATGAGAAATTTTACTTATTCTAATCATAAACCCTATCTGATCCAATCTCAGTATTTAATCTAAATTTTTTGGGAGGTTGTACTACTCGTAAAAATGAGCACTGGTATTTTTATTTAAAGCCTGGTATTAGACAAGCGGTTTTAAGAGAATTGGAAAGAATAAAATAAGAAGTATAACCATTACTGAATGTATGCTAGTATTGGATAAATTTTTTTAAGAATGAAAATGCGCCAAGTGTAACTCATTATTACACTTAAAACCTGGTACTAGATGTTTGATATTCAGATAGTTGGGTAAGTAGAAATAAGAATGTCAATGATTGCATTAAAGAATTTTGACTTATAGTTGAATGGACTCCTTTTGATAAATTAGGTAAAATACTTTCAGCAACCTGATTAGACAGCATATAAAAATAAAGCATATACATAGTCATGTATACCATCGTATCTAGTAGATCTTAAGAAACGTTGTAGTTCTCGGAATTCATTAGATTTCCTAAAGAAAGTAAATGGTTTTATTTAAATTATTTATTGCATATTTATTGCATATTTATTAAGCATTGGGTTGTAAATTAATGAAGTATTTAAGTTTAAAAATTATGTACAATTAGATGGTCGAAAGATAATAAATACATGTTGGCATTTGCATTTGATGAATTAGGTTTTAAGATAAATTACGAAAATGAAAATTGCAAATAAATGAACAAATGAAAATAAATACATATACATTGATGATTGCTTTAAATAATTCAACTTAAAGCTACAGAATATGAGAATAGTAGAATGGTTTACTTCTAAGAATTAGTTATCTGTATAAAATTCGGAGACGAATTTCTATGGGGTCACAAGATACTATATATCACGTGCATATTTGTTTGTCTCCACGTGAGGCATTAAATGATCATTAAATGATTAATCATATAAAATTTAAAAATCAATTAAGCGAATAATTTAACGGGTTTTAACTGTTTATAAAATTGTTTACTCGTTTAACCTAATAACAAAAAATAAACAATTTAGGCGGTTAAACGAATAACGGTTCCAATTCCTATATTTGATCAACTACCCCAGTATCGCCACCAAAAAAATGCAGTCATGTGATATTTTGTGGTGTAAACCAATGAGATTTCATAATGTTACACAATCAGGAAAAATCAAAACAAATTGAATTTTATTCATATATATAAAATAATTATTATATTTTATAGTCAACAAAATAGAATTAACTACAGTATTAATTATTGTTGCAGATCATAATAAAATAGGATTAAAATGAAATGAGGGGTCATCCATAATTTACGTAAAGAAACGTATATAGTAAAGATTTGCAAAAATATAAAAAATAACAAAATCGATGATATCTTGTGACCCAGTGATCCAGATTTAACAATTTTGATATCATTCGAACCGTCTCATCGAGACGAATCGAATGGTATCAAAATCGTTAAATTTGAATTATTGGATCATGAGATAATTATATTTAACTTGAAGGCTTCTTTGAATTCTCTGTAATGTTGTCTTTAAAATTGTAAAATATCTAATTATCTCAATAACCAATAATCCAAATTTAACGATTTTTGTGTCATTCGATTCATCTTGATGAGACGATTCTAATGGTATCAAAAACGTTAAATTTGGATTACTGGATCGCGAGATAATTACAAAAAACTATCTACGGCGCAGTTTTTTTAAATTTTTGTATTTTAGTACGTTGTAAATAGTTTTTTTTGCGAATATCTTGTAATCCAGTGATCCAAATTTAATGTTTTTGCTACCATTCGAATCGTCTCATTGAAACGAATCGAATGACACCAAAATCATTAGTTTTGGATTATTGGTTATCGAAATAATTATATTTAATTAAAATTTTAAAATATCTAATTATCTCAGTAACCAATAATCTAAATTTAATGATTTTGGTGTCATTCGATTCGTCTCGATGAGACGATTCTAATGGTATCAAAAACGTTAAATTTGGATCACTGGATCGCGAGATAATTACAAAAAAACTATCTACGGCACAGTTTTTTTAAATTTTTGTATTTTAGTACGTTGTAAATAGTTTTTTACAAATATCTCATATTCCAGTAATCCGATTTTAACATTTTTACTACCATTCGAATTGTCTCATTAAGACGAATCGAATGACATCAAAATTGTTAGATTTGGATTATTGGTTATCGAAATAATTATATTTAATTAAAATTTTAAAATATCTAATTATCTCAGTAACCAATGATCCAAGATTAACGATTTTAATGTCATTTGATTCGTCTCAATGAGACGATTCGAATGGTAGCAAAAACATTAAAATCGGATTACTGAATTACAAGATATTCATAAAAAACTATTTACAATGTACTAAAATACAAAAATTTAAAAAAACTGTGCTATAGATAGTTTTTTGTAATTATCTCGCGATCCAGTAATCAAAATTTAATATTTTTGATACCATTAGAATCGTCTCATTGAGACGAATCGAATGACACCAAAATCGTTAAATTTGGATTATTGGTTATTGAGATAATTAGATATTTTACAATTTTAGTTAAATGTAATTATCTCGTAATCCAGTAATTCAAATTTAACAATTTTGATACCATTCGATTTGTCTCGATGAGACAGTTCGAATGATATCAAAACTGTTAAATTTGGATTACTGGGTCACAAGATATCATTGATTTTGTTATTTTTTATATTTTTACAGATCTTTATTATATACATTTCTTTATATAAATTATAGATGACCCCTGAGGGGTTTCTATTTAATCTTCTAAAACCCTCTTATACTTGTTTATTATAAAACCTGCTTCTAAACCCTAATCCTACCCCTAAAAAAATGCTAAAAAAATGCACCCAAAAATTTGTATTTTCGGTGACTTGTCTATTTTACACTATTCCTCATTTCATTTTAATCTAATTTTATTTTAATCTGCCACAATTATTCATTCTCTATTCTGTTATCTGTTTTATGGGTGGTGTTCATTTCACCAACAATCACTTCACTGACAACTTAGTTCATCGACAATTAATTTATCGACAAGTTTATTTCACCAACAATTAATTGACCGACTGCTCATTTTACAGACAAAGTAATTCTGGTCATTGTTGTTAAGGTCAGGCTAGAATTAGAGTTAAGGTTAGTATAGTTTATAAAAAAACTTGTTGATGAAATGAACTTGTCAGTGAATTAATTGTCAATGAAATAAACTTGTCAGTGAATTAATTGTTAGTGAAATAAACTTGTTAGTGAATTAATTGTCAGTATATTAAGATGTTGGTGAAGTGATTGTTGATGAAATGATATATGGGAAGTTTCAAGATCAGTGGACCCAGTGATAGATTCGTGATCATCACATCACATGATTAAACACTTGGCCTAAATTAAGGTTGGTTTTAGGGTTAGGTGATAGTATAGCTTTGGGTGATTTGTTAGTGCTAGTAAACAAATGATGTAATTGTGTGATTTCATGTAATGTGATTATCATTGGATCCATTGATCTTGAAGTGTCCCTGATACATATCCCTGTTTTATTTATATGTTGAATTAACAGTTTGTAAGTATTGAATTTTATTTATATATATATAATAATTATTATATTTTATTGTTAACAAAATAGAATTAACTATTAATTATTCATTTTCTATTCTGTTATCAGTTTTTATTTATATGTTAAATCAACAGGGTATAAGTATTGAA